AACTACTTTCATCTGTTACCAATACTAATCATTCAATACAACTTTTGGGTCTTGGTTTAATTTTAGAGCAAAATATTCTATGACAAATTTTGCGTCAGTTCGAAAGTTCAAATTAACTTGGAGGCCAAACATTTAAAAAAGTCGTCTTTCCACTTAATAAAAAAAAAAATTAAACTAAATTATAATGAATGTTGCTTTCCCCGCTCAAAGGAGTATTATAAACAGCAATACTTCTATTAAATATTAAAATAATAAACAAATATTGATATTTGTAAATTAATATATAGATATTTTGAGTTTATTCGATCATTTTACGTTACTCTATAAGAATTTAAGGCATTTAATGAAATAATCATGTTTAAATTAAATTTTATGGTTTGGATAATTTACATGTTAAATTATTAAGATATATGAATAATGTTTTAATTTATCAGATTTCTTAAAAATAAAATATAAGACATTTGAGGTGAGTTCACGTAAAAAAATTCAAAGATTGATCTAGTATCTTATTTTAACTAACCCCAATTTTTTACTACCAATGTTAGATCATTTATCTGTAAACAAAATGTATATTATGTTATATTTTAGCCGTAACATAGATAATTAAGGTAATTTAATTGTAAATTCTAATAAAACACTAAATGATAAAAACGATAACAAAATATTATTACTAATAATAAATAACAGGGACGAAATTGTATCTGTGATGGCACGTGGGGCGCGAAGAGTTTATCGGTTATAGTAAAACGGTTTTTTGGAGCCGACCAATAAATATTATATTCAGTGAATATTCTAGTTTTATTCTCGTTATAACTCGCATAGGAATCATAATAATAATTCTGCTTTCCGATCTAAATTACGTGACCACCGCGGTCCAGTTTAAAATCATTATAACAAACCAACGGTGATTTCATAATCACTCGAAATCGAATTTTTATTTATGTAACTGTGATTCCACGTCCAAGCTGTTTCAAATTTCGAATCGGAATATCTGAAAGAGTAATTAATTAAATGTGTGTCAAACTTTAAGCAAGAGGTACGCAACGGCATATTTGTGAAAATATTTACCAATAGATTATAGGCCATAGTCAAAGTTCAACATCCAGATAATCCTTGGTTCGAATGATACATCTAAGGATATAGATTTTTAATTTTTTTTTTTTTAAATACCTATGAAAGTTTCTCTATTTTTTTTTTCCTAACAAAAACCAAAATAATATCTCGCCACATCTAAATGATTGATTTGATTTGTATAACACATACATTTTAGCAAAATTGAAAAGTATAGATCATAGCCTGTTCAGTTTTATTATTTGATAATTATATTATACATTAGTCATTTGATAAATTTATGGAGATTTGACCAATCAAATATGAGTACATTTTAACATATTTTAGGTATGTTAACGCAACAAATTCAAACGATTTCAAAATATTTGAACTTTTATCTTTCTGGTCGTCGACTGACTGAGTTATAAAAATAATATAATGATTTATATTATTCCTATAACACAAATATTAATTTCTAATAGATATGTTATTCCGTCCAGAGCACATAAATATGTTGAATTTCAAGAAGAAAAAATGTGCGATTTAATCGAAAAATTCTGATATAACATGTATTTGAAACGTTGTTACTCGTGAGTTTTAGTGAATTAACAATGTTAAATCAAACGAAACTGAAATCATCTGTACTTAAACGGCATCGATGTTTCGCTTTGGGCAGATACATCATTTTGTCAATCTCAATTAAACGTTTGTCAACTTGGTGTGCGCTCGTACGAATCTCGCACGCGCCGATTGAAAAATCCAATGAATTATTACACCACGTTTATTCAAACGGCAAAACATTATAAACCTATTCGTTCGGTTTTCGTTTTTCCACTTCTGCTAATTTCAACGTGTCCCCGTATGATTTATCTTTGCATACGCGGTCCAATAAATTCACGTGGACGCACAGAGTTCAAGCCCGGGCGCATCGACATTACGAAATCGTAGTTATTGTATACAGCTGTTGTTGTGGAGGTACATTATCCCAGCCCTCCCCAAAATTATTTTTTTTTTTTGAATTTAAACAAGACATTACGTTTATAAGTCGTTTGTAAAGGTTTGTAAAAATAACATTTTCGTTTGTAAAAAAAAAAAAAAAACGTAAAAAGTTATTAAAAAATCAAATGGTGGGTGTTGGAGAAACAGGGGTATTTTAGAATAACCTAACTATTTTTAGCTTAATCGTTTGTAAGTCGTTTGTAAAGTTTTGTAAAAACATAATTTTCGTTTGTAAAAAATAAAAAATATAAAAAGTTATTAAAAAAATGAAAATTAGCGGTATAGGAGAAACGGGGGTATTTTAGGAAAACCCAACTTTTTTAGCTCAATCGTTTGTATAGGTTTGAGCTTTTGTTTTTTGATCTCAATTCTATTGAATATGTATATATAAAAATAAAAATAAATTAATGTGATTATTAATTATTATATTATATTAATTTTTTATCACATTAATCACTGATTAATATTGAAACGATACACAGTGGCAGTCAGTATAAAATACAGCGTATATCATAGCGATCTGTCTATATTTTTGTCAACCACCACCATGATCAATATTGATGATAATAGAACATTTATTTTATACTTTAAAAATAAAAATTAAATATTCTTCTTTTGCTTTGCCTGCGTGATGACTAATTTATAAGCATTTATAGAAAAATTGTTCAGAGAATCATTGAATTGTTGGTTTTCATATTGTATATACTATATACAATATGAAACTATATATTATATATAGTACATATTCACACTCAACCATAGGCGAGCACAGACTTCAACTTCCGGTTGAGCCTGAATACAATTAGTGAATAAATACTTAGACAGTACCCCTAATTTTTTTTTCTAATACTTCAACATAGTAGATTCTATTGTAAATTAAAAACAATATAGTATTTATATCTATACATAGAATTAAGTATTACATTGCTAATTTTTAGACATATATTTTTTAAGTTAAAAATAAAACTTTAAATTCTTTAAAATCAAATGATATAAATACAATTAATTGATTTCCACGAATATATTAAAATATATATAGATATTTTACTATGGTTAGTTTAAATTTTACTATGCCCCAAAAAAAATTCCGGTCAATCCGGGGCTCACCCGGTACGCCCCATACCCACGCCTATGCACTCAATCAACATACTTGGTATTGATATTGAAGTTTGAAAAATATATTTAGTATATTAACGAAGAAGAACTATGTTATTTTGTGTTATAATTTAAAAATATTATTCATGGGAAGATACTTGAAACTTTTTAACTATTTTATTATATATAAATTATATTAATTCAACTCATCGGCTCCGTATTAATAATAATAAAATAAATTAATACACAGTACCTATTAAATAAAGTCACTTTTTCTGTTCATGATAAACTCTGAAAGGGCTTGATAATAAAGTTCATCACAATTAGAATATAGTTTTAGCCCTCTCTTTTTTATTAGTGAATAAATATTTTTCAAAATTCAATATTTTGGTTTCAACGTATCACAATGAAATTATAATATGATTATATTAATCATGAATTTAGAATCATTTAAATTTTTTTAACTAAAATACTCCCATTTCTACAGCCCCCCCTCCAAATTCATTTTTTAATAACTTTATATGTTTTTTTTTCACAAAAATTTACAAACGACTTACAAACGTAATGTCTTATTTAAATGGAAAAATTGTTAATTCGGAGCCCTGGGGAAATGTACCTGTTGCGGTCGAGACCGAGTTGTGTGCGAAATCGATCAGCGTCATGTTCGGGTCTAGAACGAGCGGAAGCGGTATCCGACGAATGTTTGGAACGCTACAAAGTCCCATTTCGAATGCTTTCCTTCCTGAACTCGAGTCTCAAACGACAAAAGCCTCCGCTCTCCTTTAGTTTCTAGAAAAATTCTAATTCTAATTCTAAATTTCGTTATCTTCGCGTTGTCAGATACACCGGTCTTCTCGTTCCCCAGGGCATTAAACTTATCATTTAATCGTTCAAGGGCCGAAAAGTACAAGAATATTTTTACCGTTTCTGTCGATCTCCGCATTCGCCGTACAATCGTTTACGGCGATAAAAAAAGAATACCAACTAACGAATACCGTGTGCGCGCTCTTGCTTTACAACAACGACATGCATCGTCTCTTTTTTTTTTTTTTTTTTGTTATTAATTTATTATGTTATCCGTGGGAGTAGCGCTAACCGCACGGTGCGAGTGCATCATAATCGATTTTCTTATTTTCTTTTTTTTTTTCCGTACATTCTATAGCCAGCTGACCAGTCTGCGCTCAACGACTTGTGAGTTATTTTTTATTATCAGTATTATCAATTTTATCCGTTCGGCCCGCAAGGTCGAATTGTATTATATTTATTGTTTAGTTCGTACTAATTTGACAACTAGTGTACACAGTTTTAGTTTTCGCTACTCGGGTTACCTTTTGCCATTCGTTTTATATAAGTACGCGCGCGCACACACACACACGCACACACGCACAACGGTACCCGTAGAGTTATGCGACGACACTTTGGCGTCATATTATTATTCTATACACCCGACCCGAACGAGAACCTCGCGTTCGAAAATCCAGTCGCATTATCAGTACCGAATGTACTGGCATGCAAATCGATCGTCACTGTATCGATTCGTCCGCTGAAAAGACAAATGGGAATATTATTGAGAGGCATCACTCGGAAATGGTGTTATTCGAAACTTAATATATGACCGATAAATATTTTAATGGTTGCCGGACCAGGCAAAACAAAATAATGATATGTTCAAGAACCATGTCTCGTCCAACTCGTTTTGGTAACATTTTTTACACGTCATGTCGTACAATCACCACGACACGTAAATATACGAGACGTGCATGGTATATCGGTTTTAATTGTAACAATAAGGGCGCAACTTTAGGGCTCGGTAACACGTCCTAAGGGTTAATGTTTTTTTTTTTTTACACGCGTACCAATATCGAGATGGGCTTGTTGTCGTGATACCACGATATACTCTGTCTGGCCTGATCGATCAGACCGATCCTGCAGGTGAACGTGATCGATCCGCCGGGCGTCATGCGTCTTTCCAGAGGCTCGTAGCGCGACGATTTCTTGCGCTGTTCATCATCGTCGGTGCCGGTCTGGTTCTCGCCGTCTGCGGGAAAAAAAAAAAAAAAAAATTATTGTTTCATACGTTCAAAACACTTGTCGTCGAGACGCCCGATCGGGACGAGTTATTTGTTCAGTAACATTCTCGTTCGAGCCGACCGAAAGCGCATGAAAACACCTGCGAGTACACATCATGCCGTATCATCATAAAACGATCAAACGCACGCGTGCGCGTGGGCCGATTGGATTTTATTTCCGTAACGTTTCGGATCCCGGACGGCCGCGTGCGGTGGAAACAATAAATGCCGACGGAACGAACGTTACTCCTAATCTCATCCCGGTTTTTTCCGCTCGGGTAACAGTCGGAACGGTGTTGTGCAACGCGGGTATTCGTACGGTGCCGGTGCGCGATTTCCTCCGTGCGTCGGATTTATTATTCAAAACGTTTGTACCGCGCACAATGCGCGTTGATCGAAATGTATAACATAGCTGAACGTTTCCGCACGAGCAGACTCGCGGTGCGCAAAAGGTCCGTAACAACAACACGTGCACGCGCAATCGTGCGCGTAAGTGCGTTTCAACGACATGGGCATCGCACAAAAGTACATCGCAACAGCGAGTAGAACGCGCGTCGTTCGCGACTGTTAACGGTAATCATAACGATCAGGGCCGGCGCGTTAGGGGAAGGCAGAACGGGGCGTGTACATTGGAAAATATTTTTTTACGGAAATCTCGTAAGATAAAACGTGAATCGCCCGGCGAGTGCCATTATCTTGTGAGATCCGTTGGCGTGCGATAAAACACCCGGATTGACAAAACAACAGTATTAGGCCCTCCGCACACGGTAAAACTGTTTTGTAACGAGAATCTCAAATCAGTTGCGCGAGCAACCGTTTGGCGATTTTGCTTATCTAGCGTAATAGGAAACCGCACACTTGTCGACCAAAACCAAATCGGTTTGTAATCAATTTCCAACTGGTCGCGTGCAACTGTGCTTGCAGGTCGAATTTCGGTTTCAGTTGCGTGGTTGCATGGTAATTAATGATTAATTTATTACTTAAAACGTATTAAAATTATTATTTTATTATTATAATTATTATATAATACCATTTCATATTTTTCTCTATATACGGATGGGTCCAATATCCCCTTCGTACTAATTTTCGTTTTCTACGGTATTGATAGTAGTCAATTATATCATCTTCATCAGAACTACTCGACATATTGCAAAAGTTTAATGTTTAACTATAAAAGAACTTCGAAAAACTTTAAAAAAAACGCACGTTTTTTCCGAACATCAATTCGCATACAACTGCGTACACTGGTCGAAATTCGATCGAACTCGTGTGCGGAGTAAATACATAAATTGATTGCAAACTAATTGCACAACAATCGCTCACGCAACTGATTTGAGATTCTCGTTGTAAAACAGTTTTACCGTGTGCGGAGGGCCTTACGTTTGATATGTCGTGTACGGCACCGACGCGCGGCGCACACCGTGAAAACCGGAACACGCGGGAAATTGAATTTCATCGCATTTCTTAAATCTAATCGATAGTTACCCGATATCGTATGTATTAGATGTTATCATCTACGATCGCTGCGTACAGGCCATAGGCGACGCTTGATCTTAGAGGGGACGCAGAGTGGCCCCAAATGATTTTCAGAAATATTAGCGCCCCCCCCCCCCCCCCACTAATATTACGTTATAATCATAACGCTGACAAGTCTTGTGGACGTTATTTTTCTTTAGAGTAAACAAATTTCTCCTCCTTTGATTTCGCCGAGTCGAGCATTGGCTACAGGTGACTATTGTTGCGGGTAAAATAAGTTTTGCGCCCAAGGCCTCGCGAAAGGTAACGCCTGGTAAGCCTTGATAATGATGTTTCTCGTTTTCAAACGAACGCGCGTCGAAATCCACGTGTTCCGCGAAATAATCGTGGATACGATATTTATTTTCATTTCTTACGTGCCGTCGACTCGTTGAAGTCGGGTTCGTTAAGAGTACAACGTATTGTGTTCGTTTTCCGCGTTAACGTTTTATTATTTAAAGTGCAGTGCGCCTATGGCACGTGCGGGCGCGGCGGGTCCTGCGCGCATTCCATTTACGATGGCGAAAAATTATAGTAGGCCAGGCGTTGTTACGTTTTTGTTGTTGCTGTTGTTACGAAGAACTGAAAATATTGGTACACGCGCAAGCACTCCATTACAATTTACGTAACGAGTAACGGTGCGGGACATCTGATATTCAACGGTATAAAACGTTTTCAAATGTTATTGAAGGGACGGGGATACGAAAACGATCTCGAGTGACTGAAAGTATATCATTATTTTGTTACCTCTTATTCACAGTGTTCACGGTTCCCTCGTAAGATTGGTACCAAAATAAGTATGTGATTATATATTTGTTTATTTTTTTTTTTTTTTTTATTAATACGAATTTAATTTTTTCCGTTTACCGAATGTTTTTACATTGTTGAGTTATACAATTTACAAGCTTACAATGTTACGGTCAGGAAGGGGGTCCTGGGTTTCAACCCTCCATTGGAAGAAAAAAAAGTTTCAAAAGTCATAAATGACTTGCTACGAAGGTGCAGAGGAAAAGAACATTAATTTGTATCATGTGGTTATGTTGTAATATTTTTTTTTGTTTTCCAGGGAAGATTGAATGGTTTGGCGATGTTATCATTAAATAAAAACTACTTAGTAACAACTGAAGAAATTATTAATGAACTGACACAAAAGAAAAAATACACTTTTACCTTTTCTATTATAAATTACTCTCAATTGATTTTTATAATAATAATTTCGTTATATAATTACTAATTCATACTTGATATGTATTTTTTATAACGTTATAAAATCACCTATTTCTTGGAAAAATGTATAACCCCTCCGAAAAAAAAATTTGAAAACACGTCATACCTAGTTATCACAGTGAATTCAAACACGTAGAAGTATTGACTTTAAATTGATCCTGGTGTGTTTCTAAAAATATATCTCGCAGTAGGCGTTGTATTGGTTTTGGTTTAGAGTTTAAAGAGCCAATTTTAAAACGAAGCCTTTCTAAATATGCGTTTAACAATCAAATAAATTCTGTTTTTACTTAACAAGTACATTTACATAATCAACAACGTTTTAAAGACTATTAAATTGTGAAAAGTATCACTATAAAGAGTAAAAATTGTAGCGTTGTATTTTAAAATAGAAAAATTAAATTGGGTCTATGCCTGAGCATATGGATATTAATTTCACAATTATAACAAAGAATTTAAGCAAAATGATAATTTACTATTCATGAACAATAATAACAATAATTATTAAAATATTTACCTATGTTTAAATATATACATGTATTACGGGTAAATTACAAAAATTGTGTAATGTAGACATTACCCAGGTAATGTGAACACTACCCATGCCTATTGGATAAAGTAAACATATTTGTAAAACGTTTATTTTGTAGGTAAACTAACCAGATAATTTTTACATAATATACTTTTAAATGGACAAAGTGTTTTCATAAAATAAAAATTGTACATTATAATAAATCGTGTGCATTGATATCGTATAATAGTTTTAAACTTCAGTACGGTGATATCGGTTTTGGAGTTCCATTGTTCAGTTTATTAATGTTTGATCATTTAGTGTTTTTAAAAAAATCTTATTTTCTTAAAAAGAGATATTTTATAAGTTTTAATAAATAAATTAATGAAAATAATAAAAATTCGGTAAAATTTAACGAAAACAAAATATGATAATATATTATCTGAAATAAGAAACGTGAAAAAAAAACAAATAAATCATAATGAACCTTTTATAAATATTTTACTAGTGTCGGTTACAAAAAAATCTTTATATGAAATAGCTGATGCACAATTTCTTTTCGGTGGTCAAATTTTTAAAAAAATATTTGTTTAAAAATAATCATTTAACTAATAAATGTAAGAGTTAACGTAAATCTGGGGAAATATTTTGCAACTCAAAATGCCACCTGAATCATAATTGTTCCAATAAATAATTATATTTAAATTTTTTAATTCTTTTATACATAACTAACTTAATAATACATAATTTACTTAATAATATTTTTTTGAATTAATATGATTTGGTTTTTTTTTCTACTTCACACCTTATTCATAGTGTAACATATATATATTTATATGTATATTTAGATGTATTCTCCAGAAAGAAATTTAATCTTCTTATCGTTTTAAATAAATCACAGAATGTATTTTGAAAGAACAAATACACCTCTGACTTCAATAACATTGCATAATGAATTAAATTAATTTTTACTCAAATCAAACTAAAGCTAAAACTACTACTACTTATCGATGATCAAAAATGGAAACCTCGGTCCACGTGAAATTTCTTTATCATTATAATATTATATTTATAATTATATACCTATTTGAATTACAAGAAGATATTCGATACAATATTTTCCGTCGTTAATGGATAAAAATATACGTTTAGCTTAAATTCAAACACATAATCATAAGCCATTTAAGTTCCATGATTTATTTATTGTTCACGAGATGATACTTGAGTTTTTTGCACTAATCATAATTTAAAATTTGTAATAATGTTCGGTAATGCTTTGATACTGGATCTTTGTATTAAAAAAAAATATATTATTATTTAACTTACATTATTGAAAAAACATGATATAAATGTAAAAAAAAAAATCTATCCTTATGTTAACATACTGCAGCTGCATAGCTTTATACTCAACGTTCAAATTTTTAAAACAAACACGATTTTCGAAAACATATTGCGATGGTAAGTTATATAATCAGTTAAACATAAGCAAAATCACGTAGAAACTTAATTTTTGATAAGTTACTGTTCAATAATATTCTATCAATGCATTTTAATCTTAATACAATAACTAATTATAAAAAAAAACCGATAATACACAATGCGTCAATCAGATTTAAATTTAATGACATCGATCAATCATCATATCAGGATAAGAGTTTCAAATGTAAGTCATTAAAATATAACCTTATGCATCAAACATTTAATGTAAACGAGAATCTT